CCACCAGGGCTCCCAAAGAACCAGGGTAGTCAACCCAAACCCTGAGACTTTCCTTGCTTCTGTGCCAAGGATTAAAGGGATCAGGCTCATTTCTGAAGGTCATACTAATAAAGAAAGAAGGAGCACCTACCCCCTTAGATCTCCTGAAGTCAGGGCTCCAACCAGTGGTTCTCACACAGATACGACCACAGGTAAAGTCTACTGTTCACCTCAGCCAAGTCATTAGCAGTGGAGGGAAGTAGCTTGGAATTCAGGGCTGGAAAGGGACCTCAGGGATTTCCTAGTTCTGCTCCTGTTATTCAGATGAAGAAGCCAAGGCCAGAGTAGGGGAGCCTCTTTGTCCAAGGTCTTGTCCAAGGTCACACAGGTGGTTAAAAACCCATTACCATCCAGTCGATTCTGACTCATAGCAGCCCTACAGGACAGAGTAGAATGGCATGCACCATAGGGTTTCCAAGGAGTGGCTGGTGGATTTGAACTGCTGACTTTTTGGTTAGCAGCCTTAACACTTAACCACCACGCCACAGGTGGTTATTGGCCCAGTTAGAACTAACCTTAGGTGACCTGACTTGCAGGCAATGCCCTTTACATTAGACCACGATGGGGTGGGAGAGAAAACCTCTATTTTCCCAAAGAACAGCAGTGGCCATTGTGCTTTGGCGGCAGGGGCTGACACAGGCTGCCTGGAGCCACACCGTTGGGCCTTTCCTTTTTTGCTAGCCCTTCTACCTGCGCCTCTAGGTAGGAACAGAAACATGGAGCTATACAAACCCAGAGAGAAGAAGTAAGGAGGGCAAGAAAGGTGGGGATGGAGCAGAGGCAGAGACAATTGAGGAAACTAATTCTGGGTGCTTTTTTTCTCTTTATTTTCTAAATTCCATATAATGTAGTTTTAGTAATAAAAAGGATTGTAAAAAGAATCTGGAGAAAGATTAAAGATGGCAGAACCAAGGAGAGACAAGAAGAGATTTTTAGAATCTTTTTTGAAAAGAAAGATTGGAAAGAAAACAGGAGCAGACAGCAAGGGAGAGATGGAGAGAAAATCCAATACCATCCTGGTGGTCAAATGGGGAAACTAAGGCAGCAGCAGGAATTTGGACAGCAGCAGGAATCTGGAATGGCTCCAAGCCCAAACTTTCCACCACAAAGTGACTGTCATCTGAGGAAAAGTGGGGAGAGGAGAGGAAAGGGACATTTCTATCCCTTTCCGGGACACTTGTCATGACCACCCAAGGCATTCCCATGCCCTCTCCTAGCCTATCACACTGAGAAGACCTCCCCATGGACGGAGAAATCTCTCACCCACACCCCTAGAAGTTCCTTGAGAGCTCTGGAAGCCTGGCCTTGGTGGCAAGATCACAGGGAGTGGAGGGACTGGAGGAGGGAGAGCAGGAGAGATTGCCCAGCGAGGCCTGGCAGCTGAGAGCAGGACTGGTGAGCTGGGCCCACGTCAGGACTGGGGCAGAGAAGTGGGGAGAGGGGGCAGGAGGAGGGCCATGGGGTGATAGAGCTTCCCAGCTCTTCCTTTGCTCCCGCTCTCCCTCCCTCTCTCTCTTTCATGATCTTGAAATAACCTTCAAGTCTGGGCTGGAAGCCGCAGGAGGCCAGTCACTTAGGAAACAAAACTGTTTCTTGGAGACCTTGAAACCCCATCTGCAGCTGAGCGGCCTCCCCACCCCTCCCTTGTGCACAAACCCATTCTCCCAGGGATGCTCACGTACACCCACACCCGGCTCCTCACGAGCTCCCCTGCTGGCCCACACACATGCTCATGCACGCATGCACGCACTCATGTACACACTCATACACACACTCACACACTTACACCTGTATACTAACGCATGCTGGTATACAAATAACTGGTTTTTAATAAATGGATCACACATCCAAATGAGTGCTACTCTCTCCTCTTTTGAGGACCTCTGCCTTTGGAATTACCATTTGGTCCGTTCACACGGTCTCATATCCACACACAGGATCCCACACAATCATGTCCCCCTCAGTCATTAACTACCCCATTGCCACTGAGTGGATTCCAAGTCATAGTGACCATAGAGGACAGAGTAGAACTGCCCTATACAGTTTCCAAGAAGTGCCTAGTGGATTCGAACTTTGACCTTTTGGTTAGCAGCTGAACTCTTAACCACTACGCCACCAAGATTTCCAGTCATTAAGTAGCGCACATAAATGCACACATGCAACTATGCATTCCTGTCTTTCTCTACTCTCTCGGTATCTCTGTCTCTGTTTCTCTCTCTCTCACACACACATACACACACCCCTACTCCCCAGATCTTCCCATTACCAACCAAATATTTGATTTAGGACCACCTCATCCTGCCCTTTGCTGATTCCCTTTCTGATCTGTGACTTTCCCTCCAACCCACTCCCCAGCCCACTCCCCCTGGCCTTCCTACCTCCTACTTTCAAGTCTTTCTTACTCCAAGGGCCTTGATCCAAACTGGTACCACTGGCTGTGTTCAAAGGAAGCAGTAGCCCAAGCCACGCACCCCAGAGTGAAGGACCAGGTGTCTACACTCACTTATGCCCTGGAGTCTGAGGTTCTCAGTGAAGGAGAAGAAGGTTAGACTCCCAGAGCCTCAACTCTCCCCGGGCAGGGAAGGTGGTCATGGGTGAAGAATGGGCTCTGTGTCCTGGTCACTTGTTCATCTGTCCAGGCCCCAAAGTGTGAGCAGCAGTGCCCTTGGAGCTGTGCTCTAGCCCAAGTGCGGGGCGTGGCAGGGAGCCCTAGCCAGGCTGTATGGGCAGAGGAAGGGCACAGTCCTTTCTGGTATTGAGCCTGGCGACAGGGACTAGAGCCAGGGCCTTGGAAGGACTGGGCAGGACTGGGAGGTGCGAGCAGGGTTGTGGGTAGGGGAATAAAAACTATTAGAACCCAGTCCTGAAGTCTACAGGCCTTCAGGTACTGGGGCTGAAGTTTCCTCTTCTATCTCACCTTCTGTCCCAGGGGTGGCTGGGCAGAAGATAACTCAGGAATCTAACCCAGGAACCTAAGGAACAGATGCTACCTAAATCCCATGTCATTGTCTCACCCAAGGCTGCCCTTTAGCCACCTCAGTGAAGGGCGCCCAGCCATCTTTGGGCCACTTTTCTAGCAATTTCTCTAGGTAGTCTCTCCTGGTGTCTAATCACAAGCTGTCTTGCTGCATCTTCAGCTACTTCCCTCTCACTCTCTCCTCAACCCATTGCTTGAACTGGTGCCTGTTTTCCCATCATGGTTTCCTCCCACTTCATATTCTCTCCCAGGCCCAAATCCAGGGTCAGTTGAGGGAGCCATGGAGAGAAGGTGTCTGTCCCATCCCACCCACACTTCTTGCCTATAACCCAGGAGGAGGAAGGAGGGCAGAAGCCAGATGTGACCTGCCAGATCCCTGTAATTGAAAACCCCAACAGCAGGCCCTGAGGGGGCCAGTCATTTGGGGAATTCAAACTTGAGTCCTGTGTCCTGGAAGTGGATTCGCTGGAGGAGAGGTGGACAGTCTCTCTGGGGCCAGAGAGGGACCCTGGCCTCACCCCGGTCCCCATCCCCTGTCTGCCTTCCCGCCTCTCGTCCTTTAGGCTCAGGGCTGTCATACCTGCCCGCACTCACTGGCTTCCATTCACTCCATTTCTGCGCCCAGAGAAATGGGGACACTCCAGAGAATCCTCTGACTGCTCCCAGAAGACGGGGGCAGAATTTTTTCTTCTCTCTCTGCCCCATGGTTTCCTCCTTTCTGTCTTTGCCCGTCTCTGTTTTTGGCTCTTTTGTCGAGTGAGCAACAGCAACATCCTTAGCCCAGCTGGCCCTGTCCAAGGTCATTTCCTCTACTCCTATTTCTAGCTGGGACCAAAAGACACCCCGAGGTGGGCCCCCCTCTCTGCTCTCCAGGCACTTCTTCTGGCCTCTCCTGTGCTTACTTGCAGGGAAGCCCCTTTTCTATCTAACCTCGCACCAGCACCCTGCAAAGTTACCTTCCAGTCCCCCTGGAAGGAGGAAGCATCGCCCTCCTTCCCGGACCACATATCTGATATTTGTTACCATGTGGACCTCCGCATACCTCTTAGAAGACCCGTAGGAGGAGGATTTTCCTCTCTTTTGGCCTCTCCTCAGCCCACCCACCGACCCAGGCTTAGATTCAGCCCAGAACTTCCCAACAGTGATGAAGGGAGTGCCAAGTCCACTCTGTAAACAAGGAGTAAACAACACCCAGAGATGTCACCACGGATGTCCCCCGGGGCAGGTCCCCTCTGTCCTCAGCCTGTCCCTTCCCCAGCTACCTGCCTGGCCCCAGGGGTCTTGATTCTCCTCTCAAACCTTGGAGAGGCTCTACTGGGAGGGCTTGGGGGTACCCTCTCTCCTTCATCTGCAGACTTCATGCTGCCTCTTGACCCACCTTTGGCTCCCACTAGGGCCCCCTCCGAGATGCCTCATGTGCAAGGGCAGGCCCTCGGTTCAGCTGCTTACTTCCGGCCTTCAGTGTCCCTGCAGCCCCTAGAGTAGAGGGAGCAGCCTGTTTCTTCCCCTGGGAGGTCAGACGGAGATTCAGGAGTCCTAGTTCTGTCTTATGAGCTCGAATTGTTTCATCTCACAGAACCTCAGTTTCCCCAACTGGAAAGCTAGAGGAAGGGTTGGGCCACATGGCCTCTCTCATCCTGGGATTCCCAGCTGAGAGTGCTCCCTCTCCGCCTGTTCGCCTGTTTGGAAGGGGCACTTTCCCTCTCTCTCCTGCCCCCACCCCTGGCTTCCTCTGGCATGGCTGCCACAAGCTAGGGAGAGATTTTGAGGAGCCAAGGTGGTGGGGGTGGGGGAGTGGGGGGGGGAAGTGGGGGGGGTGCATACAGCAGGACAAAAGGGACCGTCATCAGGCCAGTTGCTAAAGGGCTGGGAGGGAGGAGTCCTCAGGGATCTTGTTTCAACAAACGTTTCTTTCCCGAGGAGGGAAAGGCGGGGGAGAGGGGGAGAGGGACCTATTTAAAGCTACCCGTTGCTTCCTCTGTCTCTGTCTGGCGGGCCGTTTGGGCTTGGGAGCCTCCCGGGGACTACTCCAGCCTTGGTCCCCTCAGCCACTCTGCCCCAAGATGGGCCGTGGGGTGAGTATCCCAGAGAGCAGGGGCCACTCCGTGGGGTGGAATAGGGCTCTCAGGAGGTGAGATAGGCTGGAGAGGAAGGATGAGGTGGGACTGGGGTGTGGGGAGGGGAAGAGAGAAACTGAGCGGGAGAATTTGAAGTTAGAAGTACACTCTCCAAACTATAAGTGTGCACAGATCCCAGGGCGCTCACATGCGCTCTCCTCTTCACCACCCACCCCCCACATCAGCCACAGACACCACACAAGCCCCCTCCATCTCTCCCCACACCCCATCCCTGCATCACCATCTCCTAACCACCCATGTCAAGGCATCACCTTGTCTCACTCTCCGCCTGCCAGCCGAAGGCATGCCCGGTGCTTTCCGTCCTCCCCACCTTTCCTACCCCCTGAAAATACCCATTCCTCAGGGAGTCCCAGCCGTAGAGGATGGGGGTTCAATGAGGTGGGAGGAGAGCACTGGTGCATCCCTCCTCTGGAGTCACCAAGCAGTTCCGGACAGGAGCTCCAGGGGCCCTGAGCACCAGGGACAGCTGGGAGGTGTGTGGGGAGGAAGACGAGTGTGCCCCCAGCCCCCACCCCAACGTCCCTCCGGGTGTCCCGGGTGGCATTTTCCTCAGGCTCTGGGCCATGGACTTTGAGGACTTTCCCAGAGGCTGGTGAGAACGGCTTGTGTCTCCCCCAGCCCACCCCTGCCCATGGCATCCTGCAGCCCTGGGTATACCAAGGGGAAGATTAACAGCTATGGCAAGGGGAGGGAAGGCGGACAGGGACAGGGCTTGGAATTCTTGGAAATGAAATTCCCATATGGAGAGAAGTGACCCAATCCCTTTATATACTTGGCCTCTCTGCTTTCCTTTTGTGGGATGTTGACAGAAGAGGGCAAGGAGGGAAAGGACATAGCAAGCAATGGGGCGGGGGGGGGCTCTGAGGAAAGGGGGTGCCTATGGGGAGCTGTGGGGGAGTCTTTGGGCCCTCGAGGGGTCAGGCAAGGACATGTTATTGCACTGAGTTTAGCAGCTGGGAAAACTCTAGCCGGGACATGAGGGTTCCTGAGCTTGGATGGGAACTATAAATAGAAACAGAGTATGTGTGTGCGTGTGTGTGTCCACCACCCATGTGTTTTCTATAGGCTGGAGTTTATACAGATACTCATGGGTTAGCACCTGCGTTTGTGTCTCAGTGGGCAAATTTGCAAATGTACAAGAAGGGTGTAGCTAAGCCTTCAAGCTTGCATGAGCCTGGACATTCCCGCATGGGGCTGTGGGGGTCTATGAGCTGCCCGTAGGAGCTGGATGTGAGGTGTGGGGTCAGGGAGGAAGAGGTCACAACCATGGGAAAACAGGCTGTCAGGGACCTTCAGCCATACCTGGGCAGCTCTTGCCCCCACCCAGGGAAAAGAGGTCCTCAGCTGAGGGGCAGTGTCTCTGAGGGAGGCGCCAGGGCTGGCTGGGTCAGGCCAGCCCTCCACTCCCCTACCCCAACTAGAAAGAGAAGCAGGGGAGGTAGCCCTCTACTGCCTCCAACCTAAGACAAGGTGGACCCAGCTCAGGAGGTCCCACTCAGGCAAGCAACTTGACCTTGCGGTCTCCAGGGGACCCTAACTGCCTAGGATCTGTCCTTTCCCCGCCTGGCACCCGTGAAATCCTTTCACCCTACTCCAGTAGCTGTTGGTGAGATGGGGAGAAGATCTGGTTCTCTTGAGCTGGGAGGTTCAGTGAAGTGGGTGTCCTTAGAGCCTGGAGCTTGGAGTCCAACCTACCAGGAGACCCTTGGGGAGGGAAAGCAACCCACATCCCCCTTGTAGTGTTCATTTCACCTCCTATCCATTCTTTCCTGCCGCTTCACTCCACAGCAAGGCCTAACTGTCACCCTGTCACCCTGTGGCCATGAAGGGCAGCGTGGGAGTGGGGGGAAGGGACAGCTCTGGCGGGAAGGAGCCCAGCCTCTCCAGCTGCCACGGAAAGCCTGAGGTGGGGGAGGGCTGGCTGCTTTCCAAATGGCCCCCACTCTGTCCCAGCCTCTGGCTTTCTCAAAAAGAACTCTCTGTTCTCTGCCAGCATTCAAGACCCAGAGAGGGGGGCTGGTGGGTCAGGGGAGGGAGGAGCAGAAGGAGGAGGGGGGGGTCCTTGCTTCCTCTCTTTCTTTCTTGCCTGGGCAGCCACTGGCCCCAAATCTCCACAGGCTCCTGGCTGTAGAGCCTGAGCTCCTTGCCAGGACAGGAGGAGGGGGCAGGGGCAGTCTGTCCCAAGCTCTGAGCCTGCTGGAGAACAGGGTGGGAGCCCAGGAAAGGGGGAGCTGCAGTGAGCTGCTTAGCTCAGCCACAATCCAGCATGCCAAATGCACACGAGCCATCAAGTTTTTAAGGAACACGCATTTGACTCTAATTTTCACAAATCTTATTTCACATCTGAATGTATAGAATGTGTAGAAACTCCCCTGGGCTCTGCTCCTTTGCCCCTAGTCACAGCCCCCACCCTCAATGCATGGGCCCAGGCCCTGCTCCTTTCCCTGAAACTCCTCAAGGGCCAGATGGAGCTTGTCTGGCCTGATCTCTTGCCTCTGGCCCCTTCTTTGCTTTTCATCCTTTTCTCAGCCCTGAATCCCTAAAGAGAGAATTTGTGAATCCAACGCATTTCAGTCCATTCAATGAAACGAACCCTCTTCAGTCACCTGGAACTATTGACAAACCCTTCCCCGTTTTTTCTCTTGGGCTCCTTCAAAGATGATCACTAGTCTTCAAGAGGTCAAGATTACCCTGGATTCATAGTGCCCCTGAGAACGAATGCAAGGTTTACTGGCCGCCTTTGCTAAGAAGGGACTTTCCAAGCAGCACTGCCTCCAAAAGCTCACGTTCTTTGAGGTCATTAGTAAATATGGGGACAATAGTGTCCACCTGTCACCACACCCCCCCCCCGTCCTTGTTCCTGATTCACTGGCCAGACTTCTACCTCTCAAGGTGCTCGATTGTGATCTCATATGATCAGGCAGCTGCCACACTCCTGCCACTTCCCCAACCCTTGGATGGATAAAAAATGCATTATCCTGCCCAAAAGGGCAAAACCCTTCAGTGGTAGACCCTACCCAGGTATCCACTATTTATGAAAAAACAAAAAATACATCATAGTATGGGAAAGTTTATTCCTGGAAGCCTAGCCCTGTCCTCAGGGCCCAGTGGAGACAGAGGCAGTGAGCAGACACTGAGCAGCCGCTCTGTGACAAGGATGCTGTATCCTGGGGGAAGTGGGGAGGACGCGGGACTGAGAAGTCATCTTTCTGAGACACCTGTCATGGCCATCCCAGGCATTCCGAGGCGCCTCCTATCCTATCACCCCAAGACAACCTCCCATTGAAAGGAAAAATTCCCCACCCTCACCCTCAGGCTTTCCAGGGGTGACAAGACCACAGACCCTGAAGAGGAAGGGGAAAACGGAGGCCCCATGTGCCTACAAAAGTCCCTAGGTGGTACAAACAGTTTGACTCGGCTACTAATGGAAAGGTTGGCAATTCCAACCCATCCAATAGTGCTGCACAAGAAAGGCCTGGAAACCTGTTCCCATGAAGATTACAGCCAAGAAAACCCTTTGGAGCGGTTCTATTCTGTCACACATGGTGTTGCCATGAGTTGAAGTTGACTCAACTGCAACAGGTCATGAGGCTACAATTAAAATATTCCTCAAAAGAAGACCTAGAAACCGTGGAAAACACAAACGAGACAGCTTCCAGGCTTAACCACACTAGAAAGAGGAGTATGGCATTGAAACAAACTTAGGGAGAGCCTGTGGACCGTCATCCTCCGTGCAATGCGGAAAGTGGGGAAGTCTATTCGAAATGTCGCCCCTGTTGTAGTGAAGGAGTCCTGGTGGCACAGTGGTTAAGAGCTCGGCTGCTAACCAAAAGGTTGGCAGTTCAAATCCACCAGCTGCTCCTTGGAAACCCTTTGAGGGCAGTTCTACTCTGTCCTATAGGCTCTCTTTATGAGTCAGGAGGCCCTCTGGTGGTCCTACCCCAGTTTCTCCCCCAATCTGATCTCGCCAGAAGACCCGAGAAAGCCTAGACCAAGGCTTTCGTTTTAGATTTATTCTCAGCCAATTTCTTACAGTACTTTTGAAGAATGAGGCCCAGTTCCCTTCTTACACAATTGTGCTTTGGGGCCACAAGTCCTGTGACTTGCTCCTTGCCCCACAGTGGCCAGGCCTGCCCAGCAGGATTGAGTTCTCGTCTCCAGGACATGCTCTTGCCCTCCAAGTACTGACTTCTCACAGACCGTTGGCCCTGCTCGGTCCATTTCTGCCACTCCACAACCGGACCCTTCCCTGCCCTAACCCCTGGCCCCCCAAAGACTCTTACTCCCCAGATGCCTGTCTCTATTCCTCTCTAAGGGAAGTAGCCATGGGGCTGGGGCAGACATTCCTACATGATGTTTCCACTCCCTCCCCGAATTCTCCTAAATCACCTAGGATGGTGGTTTCCAAAGCTTTTACATATTTCGTTTTGTATTTAGCAGCAGGGCCCTTTCAACACACCAAATCTTAGCAGAAGCCCAAGTACTAAACAGCTAAGAGTCTCAGTCCTAAGTCCCGAGCCCCTCAGCCTTACCTACCCCTCTGCAGGGAGCTCTGAAGTTCAAACGCAGAGCACATGGTTCTGCAAATAGTTTGCACACTGACAGCCTGGGGCCCTCACTGCCTTTGAATCCACCGACCCACTCCCAATGCTCCTGGCTGTCAGACGGGAATAGCAGCTTCAGCCACACTGCCTTGGTCCTTCCTGACTCTGGGCTCCCTTCTCTCCCACCCCAGGCCGGCCGTGAGTACTCGCCTGCTGCCACCACCGCAGAGAATGGGGGCGGCAAGAAGAAACAGAAAGAGAAGGAGCTGGATGAGCTGAAGAAGGAGGTGGCCATGGTGAGGTGCAGAGTTGCCCAGCAGGGGCCTCCTGGCGGAAGAGCCGCCCCCAGTCCACCCAGACTGACAGAAGCTCTGTGCCCACCCTCCCATGCTCCTCACCTTCCTCCTTGCCCCTCACTGCCCTTTCATGCATCCTAGACACACACACCTAGCCTCTTTGCCCAAAGTAACTCTACCTCCCGCCCCCAGGATGACCACAAGCTGTCCCTGGATGAGCTGGGCCGCAAGTACCAAGTGGACCTGTCCAAGGTGAGTTGAGGGGCTTCAAGCAAGGGAGATGCTCTCTAGCCATAGGGCACCAAAGAGCCGAGAGAGCCATGCAGTGTCAGGGTAGAAGGAGCCTTAAAAAGTAATCAACCCCCTTTACAGATGAGAACACTGAGGCTCAGACACAAGTGACTTGCCCAAGGTCGCATGGCTTGTTGGTGGCAGATCCCCTGCTTTCTAGTCTATAGCTCTCTCCTTGTGCACACTGGAGCCCACGACTCCTTAGACACTCAGGTCCCAAAGCGCCTCAGGACAGTGACAAGCAACCTCTCATTGAACTAACAGACATGAAACAGTCAGTCTATTACATTATTATGGCAATTTATGGGCTCCCTGCTATGTACCTGGCAAACTGTGATAAACATATCACATACATTTTTCTAATCCTTACAACCACCTGTCAGATAGGTATTTTAGACCTATTTTTTAAAGCAAGGAGACTCCAAGGAAGAATAACTTCCCAAGGTCTCATAAATAGCAAGTGGCAGAACCAGATTCCAAAGCCCATCCTCTTGGGGGGAAAAAATCATTCATCAAATATTTAGTGGGTGCTAACTTCCTCCTGGAAACCCCGGTTTAGTGCTATGGCTGCTAACGAAGGTCGGCAGTTCAAATCCACCAGGTGCTCCTTGGAAACTCTATGAGGCAGTTCTACTCTGTCCTATAGGGTTGCTATGAGTCAGAATCGACTCGATGGCAACTGGTTTGGCTTTTTTTTTTTTAAAAAAAAAAAAAAAAACTTCCTCCTGGAGTCCCTGGGTGGTGCAAATGGTTAATACACTCGGCTGCTATTCAAAAGGTTGGAGGTTCAAGTCCGTCCAGAGGTGCCTCAGAAGAAAGTCCTGGTGATCTACTTCTGAAAAATCAGCCACTGAAAACCCTTTGGAGGACAGTTCTACTCTGACACACATAGGGTAGTCATGAGTTGGCACTGACTCTACAGCAACTGGCTGGGTTATTTTTTAACCTCATGCTACTGGCCTTCCCTGACTGCGCTTTCTAAAATTCCATGCCCCTAATTCTTTAAATTACTTTGTTTCCCTTAATAACGCTTTTCCCTGGATCCCCAAAGCTGACAACAGGGCCTGGAAGGTAGTAGGTGCTCGATACACATCTGTTAAATAAATGAATGAATGGATATAAAGATAAATAAGAAGTGGTTCCTGCCTTCAAGGAGCTCAGAGTCCAGTGGCAGAAAGAAATGTAAACAGAATTCCAGTGGAATGTGGTGAGGGCAGCTCTGGAATCATACGTGGGCTACAACAGGACTGCAGAGAGGAGCACCAGAACCAGCCTGGGGCTGGGGGAACAGGGCGGGGTGAGGCTTTCTGTAGGAAGTGACAGGTAATTGTCAAGACCATGTGACACTGATGATCAGTAATGTAGGACCCTCCTGAATTCTTGGTGAAAGGGGGACTATGAAGGGCGCGAGATGAGGGAGGAACCAACTGAGATCTTTCCAGGGAGCCTTATCCAGGCTGTCTTGAGAGGGGATGTAGTGGCCCTCACCAAACTGTGTCTCAATCCAACGATAATCAGAGGTGGAGCCATAGTCCAAAGCCTCCTCAGCCTTCAAGGCCCCCAAGACCCATCACAAATGCCACCTTCTCTATATGACCTCTCCTGAAGGTGTCCTACTCCTTCTAACCAAGTGGCATCTTTACTCTCCCCCTGGACATTCTTCTCCCACCAAGGAGCCTATGGGCATTGGGGAGGGCTGGGTTGATTCCGGTGATGCGCTCCCACACCTCTCCTTGCCTCCCTCAGGGCCTCACCAACCAGCGGGCCCAAGACGTCCTGGCTCGAGATGGACCCAATGCCCTCACTCCACCTCCTACAACCCCTGAGTGGGTCAAGTTCTGTCGCCAGCTTTTTGGGGGCTTCTCCATCTTGCTGTGGATCGGGGCCATCCTCTGCTTCCTGGCCTTCGGCATCCAGGCTGCTATGGAGGATGAGCCATCCAATGACAATGTGAGCCTCACATCTGACACTGGACCAGCCCATCACCCTGCCCTCCAGCCCTCAATCCCCAACACAGTGTATGTGGGGGGCATAAAGTGGCTGGGGGAAAAGCCCCCTTGTCACAGCTCCACAGCCCCTACACTTGAGGCTGAAAGGGGAGAGGCTCTATACATCTTTATAAAGTGCTCACACACACACACACATACAATCATTAATGAATGAGATGGCCCCTCCCTACTCCCCTCCCACTTAAGTGGGCTTGTCTGCATCCTTGGGTCTGCACCCCTTAGAGAAGTCCTACCCCTGGGATCTCCCTATAAGACTTTCCTCTCCCCTTCCTATCTTAGGAAGCTGAGGGTTGGAAGATTGAGGGGAGATTGGAGGGAAGGATTTTGCTCTACCATTCTCACCCCCTAGTCACACACAATAGTCTGGGCTCTCATCTAAGATGACAATGAATGTTCATCCCAAACAGCAGCTGCCCCTCCTGGTTGGGAGAAGGACAGGCCCCTCAAACTCTTTCTCCTCACCAGCTCTATCTGGGTGTAGTGTTGGCAGCTGTGGTCATCGTCACTGGCTGCTTCTCCTACTACCAGGAGGCCAAGAGCTCCAAGATCATGGATTCCTTCAAGAACATGGTGCCTCAGGTAGATGGCAATGCTGGCGCATAGGGTTTCCCAGAGAATCCAGCTCATGCCCTCTCAACTCGTGTGCTCTGAAGTGGAGGCCTGAGTAAGAAAAGACTTCCTGCTCTCCACACCAGGACCTAGTTCTGTTGCTAAAGGGGCATAGTTTCTCCTCTCCCTTGGTTGGGGTTGGAGGTGAGGTGGGAGAACAGCAGGAGAGGAAGGCAGGGGTGGAGAGGAGCACTTAATGAGATCTCCATGGCCTCCCCCCAGCAAGCCCTCGTGGTGCGGGAGGGAGAGAAGATACAGATCAATGCAGAGGAGGTGGTGGTGGGAGACCTGGTGGAAGTGAAGGGTGGAGACCGCGTCCCTGCTGACCTTCGTATCATCTCTTCTCATGGATGTAAGGTGAGGAGGCCATGCAGATCTACTGGTCTGGTCTAAGAAGCTGAGCTGAGAGGGGCCCCATTAGAGGCTTAAAGGTTGGGAGACCCAGGTCCAAATGTAAACACCTCTCCCTTATCCCCCGGCTGAAACTTCCCTCAGCATATGGTCCTTATGTATTGTCTTCTTGTACCTACATGTTATGAGTGTTCTGTGCCTGGGACATTTCTTTGATATCCACTTTATAGCAATCATATATTGAGTACGCATTATGTGTTAGATGGGTTATATATATGCACATGTGCTGTCTAATTTAACTCTGCAAGAATGGCGTGATCATGCAGGGTTGTTGCATGTGTCCACACAGTCTGTGCCCTGGACAACTCCAGGAGGTGCCATTTTCATAGAATACAATAATAGTGGCGCCCCCTGTAGTTGTGCATTGCAGCAATTCTTAATCCATCCCTCATTTTACAGATGAGTAAATGGAGGCTCTGTTGGTTAAGTAACTAGCCCAAGGTCACACATGAAGTCAGTAAGAGCCAGCATTTCAAACCAGGGCAGGGGAAATATCTGAGTAATGCTATAAATACGTGATGAGGGCAAGTGTAATTTTGTCCCTCGTGTCATGGGGATTGAAAGTGTGATTGGAGTCAAGAGACAGCTGTGTGTGCACGAGTGTATCTGCCAGTCTGGTGACGACAGGTCCCCTTGCTCTTCAGGTGGATAACTCATCCCTCACAGGCGAGTCAGAGCCCCAGACCCGCTCCCCTGAGTTCACCCATGAGAACCCCCTGGAGACCCGCAATATCTGTTTCTTCTCTACCAACTGTGTTGAAGGTGAGAAGCTAGACTGCTAGCAGAGCACCCCATCCTGGCACCAACTAAGGGGAGAGTCTGGATCCTAAATCTCCAGTCAAGGGTGGGGGCTGAGGTGGTACTTATATGGCAACATCCTGGCTACAGATGATGGAATTGAGAGATCAAGGACCCCTGAATATTACAGAAACAGCCCCCTGCCCCCCACACACAGAAATGGTGCCTCCACTGGCTAGGGACAGAACAACTCTGTGGAAAAGTTATCTTCCCACAGGAAGATCCCCACTTCTGTCCATCCCATGACTGAGTAGATTCTGAAGCTTTCAGATTTTGGGCAAACACCTCCCCGCCCCCACACACCCCTACACAGACAGAGAGAAAAAGAGAGAGAGAGATGTCCCAAGCCAACCTTGACTCCAAGGAGTCTCTGGGTTTGACTCATGCCCTCCATTTTCATGGTTCTTGGACTGGTTGCTTCCTTCTCTGACCTTCACTTTGACCAGAGCCCAGGGCTGGTGGAGGGTCAGGAGGGCTTTCAGTCCAGGTGGACCCTTGGACCCTCCTTCAGACTGCATCTAGGTTTATGTTGCACCAGAGGAAACAGTCCCCCATGTATGGGCTACCCGGTTTGCCCCAGCCCTGTCCCGTGTTCTAGAGATGAACAAAGGCTGACGAGAGCTCCTGGTGCTGCCATCACTTATGACGAGGGTCCAAGCATAACTGAACCCCATGACCTCTGTGGTCTTCCAGTGAGTGGAGTCAGGGCAGGATCTGAGAAGGAGCAGGAAGTCACAGGTGGTGGGAGCAAGAGGTCTAACTAGACCATGGGGTGAAGGAGGTCTACTGCCCCAGCTGCACACCATTCCCTTCCCTTTACTCATTTCTCTTCTGTGTATCATGTTTCTCTGAGCTTTTTTCCTTCTTCAGCAAGTTGGAAAATCACTACACATCAAATTTCCTACATTTTTAATGTACTGAGATTCTGAAATTTACTCCAACTGCTTGGTAAAATATCCCCATTGCTTACTCTGAAATTGCCTTTGAAAGAAGAAAGGCAGTGAATGGAACCAACATTTGCTGAGTGCCTACCATGTGCCAGGCACTGATCTGTGTGTATTAAAGCACTATCTCATTTAATTATTAGTCAAACAAGGATTCAAACCCAAGTTCAGCTGACTTCAATCTCTATGCTCTTTCCCTATATCACATTACCCTCCCCAAAGATCCCTGGAATGTCTACTTAAGTATCAGTAATTGCTTAGCTTCTTTAGATTCATGCTTAATGTTGAGAAAGAAAATCTTAGGACTATGTAGAAAATCCATAATGAGTGCTATATTTTGTGTTCATAGTATACTTTTGGATCATAACAAGCATGAGCTTGATGACACTGAAATGGCACAGGCAATATTTTTACTTCTCTTATTGAATCTCCTCAGTTTGCACTTTAAGATTATTTGCAAAGCTTCTCCCCAGGCCCAAGTATAAGAGAAAAATAACTGTGTTGTTGTATTGAAACGGGGATTGGCAATCTATGCAGGGATGGTAAGCCCAAGTGAGGCGCATTCTACTGAAACTGACCTCCGGGATCTGAGTCCTTGGCTCATTTATTCTGCAATGGTTTTCCTTGCTTGGGAAGTAGGACAAGATCTCAGTTCCCTGAAGCCCCAGGGTACTCAGCTTGGTGTCCCCTCCTGTGTTGCAGGCACTGCCAGGGGCATCGTGATTGCCACAGGTGACCGGACAGTGATGGGCCGCATAGCCACTCTGGCCTCAGGCCTAGAGGTTGGGCGGACCCCCATAGCCATGGAGATCGAACATTTCATCCAGCTGATCACAGGGGTGGCTGTGTTCCTGGGAGTCTCCTTCTTCGTGCTCTCCCTCATCCTGGGCTACAGCTGGCTGGAAGCAGTCATCTTCCTCATCGGCATCATTGTGGCCAATGTGCCTGAGGGGCTGCTGGCCACTGTCACTGTAAGTGGGATAGGCCCAGGTGCCTACAGGGGACGGTCTGGCTACCCTGTCCTCAAAAGCAATCGAAGCACAGTTGCTTCTTGTTTCTTAGCAAGTTTTTTATTTCTACCCCCTAAATTCATATATAAGATGTACTCACAGATTATTTCACATGTGGCTCAGCCTTTGAGTCTGGCAAATCTCAGGTTGGGCTATACTTTGGACTCAGTTTCTCTCCTGGAGCTTATGGCCTTCATAACCCAAACCCACTGCCTCTGAGTCAGTCAATTCTGACTCATAGCAACCACATAGGGTTTCCGAGGCTGTAAATCTCTATGGAAGCAGACTGCTACATCTTTCTCCCAAGTGGCTTCTTGGTGGCCCTTTTTTACCTCCCACATACTCATCTCCCTCCAGTAGGGTAGTCATCCTGGCCAACTCCCCCATAGAGCTTCTCTCAAAGATCACCAATGACTAATTAGCAAATCCAGTGACCTTTTTGCAGCCCCATCCTTAACTCTGCTGCTGAAATCAATACTGTCGTCCACTCTCCTAGAATTCTCTTCTTTGTCAGTAACTGTGACATGTCACTATCCTGGTTCTCCTCTCCTCTGTTCCCTGTAGTGTTTCCTCCTTCTCCCCAACACTGATGCTCAGGCCTCAGCTCTCTGCTCTTCTCCTTACGCCCCCTAGAGTGAGCCCAGACCTTCCCACAGCCTCCAGTGCCTTTGCTGTGTGGAGGACTCCCACATCCCTATGCCCAGCTCTACCCGGGTCCTCTCTGTAGTGCTAGACAAATATCTTCAACTCTCTACTGGAAATTTTTACCTTACAATATACCCATGATCTCAACTCAACATGTCTAAGATTGAACACACTCATAATTTACACCTAGGTCCCACCCACTAATGTTTGTGGAGTAGGATCGAGGGCAGAGAGATAGAGCCCATGGTCTGGACAAGGTCATGGGCAACTTAGCTCCAGCCTTAACCCTGTCTTATTCTCTCTCTACCAGGTGTGTCTGACCCTGACAGCCAAGCGCATGGCGCGCAAGAACTGCCTGGTGAAGAACCTTGAGGCGGTGGAGACGCTGGGCTCCACCTCTACCATCTGCTCTGACAAGACGGGCACCCTCACCCAGAACCGCATGACCGTCGCTCACATGTGGTTTGACAACCAGATCCATGAGGCAGACACCACAGAAGACCAGTCTGGTGATTGGGCGCTCCAGAAAGGAGTGCAGGGGATTGGAGGGTGTTCAATTTTAGACGTATTAAATTGAGATCATGGGTATATCCCAAACCCAAGCTCATTGCTATCGAGTCAATTCTGACTCTTAGTGACCCTATAGGACAAAATAGAACTGCCCCACAGGGTGTCCAAGGCTGTAAATCTTTATGGAAGAGGACTGCCAGATCTTTCTCCCATGGAGTGGCTGATGGGTTTGAACCACTGACCTTTCAGTTAGCAGCCAAGCCCTTAGCCACTGTGCCACCAGGGCTCCCACGGGTATATAGTAAGGTGAAAATGTCCAGTAGAGAGTTGAGAATATTTTACTAGCACTCTAGCGAGGACCAGGGTAGAGCTGGGCATAGGGGGTAAGAGCACTGGGATGGCAGGGTGGGTGGAGGTGAAATAAAGTCTCTGAAGAGGAGCCAGGCTCTGGTTCTCCCTCACTTCCTCACAGGGGCCACTTTTGACAAACGATCCCCCACGTGGACAGCCCTGGCTCGGATTGCTGGTCTCTGCAACCGTGCTGTCTTCAAGGCCGGGCAGGAGAACATCTCTGTGTCTAAGGTACGGGCCAGAACACAGAACAGCTGCAGCTATAGGGTGTATCCAAAGTCTGTCTGGCTTCCCCTGTTGTACACTGTGGCTGCTTTGGGAGCTTCAGGACCCTGCTGACCTGATCCTGCACTCTCACCCTGCCCTACCGTGACACTGGATTCTCTTCTGGCAGCGGGACACAGCCGGTGATGCCTCCGAGTCAGCTCTGCTCAAGTGCATTGAGCTGTCCTGTGGCTCAGTGAGGAAGATGAGGGACAGGAACCCCAAGGTGGCAGAGATTCCTTTCAACTCTACCAACAAGTACCAGGTCTGGATGGGGTACCAGGACTGGAGAAGAGGGAGGGACAGAAATGAGGGTATGGGCAAACCAAGAGGGAATCACCAATAGTAGGAGTAGGGGCATCTGAGGATCATGTCTTCTCATGTTTGCCTCATCCCCTGGGGTAACCTGTGACTACATGTCTGATTGGCTCGTATCCCCTAACTCCTAAACCAACTTTCATTCCTTACTAAAACCTGACACCCTCTCAACTCTTCTTCCCGTAACTCCCCTTCCATCCCATTCAACTGAACCATACTTTTGTAATTTCTTTGTGATCTCCTTCAGCCATTAGGCATTTATGAAATGCTAAGAATGTGGTCTCAGCCATGTTCTGTATAAGCCAGAAAGGTAACAGGAGATCAGTGTAAGTATGCTGGGGAGGGAATGCCTATGAGGGAGCTTTCCAGTCCCTAGCCCAGTGCTTATTTCTTAACTGATCTTAATAAATATTTGTTGAATGAATGAAGATCCTAGGGGAAGATGACTTCCAAGTTACAACAGTTAGGACTATGAGATTCAGACACCCCTTCACACATGGAGATTCTCCTTGTGTTGACATCTTTGATGGATTGGGGATTATATTATTAAGGGAGGCTTTCTTACCAGCAGCCTCTGCTCTGTACCAGACCCTGTGATGGACAGTGGGGCTACCAAGACAAGTATGGGCCCTCTGTAACGACCTGTTCTCTTTCTAGCTGTCCATCCATGAGAGAGAAGACAGCCCCCAGAGCCACGTGCTGGTGATGAAGGGGGCCCCAGAGCGGATCCTGGACCGGTGCTCCACTATCCTGGTGCAGGGCAAGGAGATCCCACTGGACAAAGAGATGCAAGACGCCTTCCAAAATGCCTACATGGAGCTGGGAGGACTGGGGGAGCGTGTGCTGGGTGAGGGGACAGAAACAGGATCAAGGCTGAGGGAGGGATTCCGTGCCTCAGCAGCATCCCTGGGGTGAGGGACTCTGGGGGCATCCAGGCAGCCACCTCTCTGCTCTCACCCCCTCCCCTCTGCCTCCCACCAGGGTTCTGTCACCTGAATCTGCCCTCTGGAAAGTTTCCTCGGGGCTTCAAATTCGACACGGATGAGTTGAACTTTCCCACAGAGAAGCTCTGCTTTGTGGGGCTCATGTCTATGATTGACCCTCCCCGGGCTGCAGTGCCAGATGCTGTGGGCAAATGCCGGAGTGCAGGCATCAAGGTACGGGCCTTACTCCCTCCCCTCTCTTCTCCCCTCCCTCATGCCAAAGGCCAAGGGACTGCAGGGGTAGCTGCCCTGAGGAGACCCAGGACACTGTTGGCCTCCTTCCCACTAACTGAGACAAGAAGCTGTGTGTCTGCAAGGAAAAATGAACTCCTGCCTTGGAGGTCCCACCCTCATCTCTTGTGCTCACGGTGACCAGTTCCCATGCCTATCCTTTCCATCCCTGCCACAGCTAATTGTCCATCTGCATAGGAGCCCTTTCATTTTGATTTCAAGTACAATCTGACATGCCTGTCTTAGAGACACGTATGTCCTTATGCTCCCCAACTGCTGCCCACTCTCTCTAGACATTTGGGATGGGATTAGCAGGCTCTGGTCTGCCCCTACTCACTCGCCCCACAGCTCAGTAGACTGACTTCAGTCCTCATCCCACTCAAGCAGGCCTCTCCTGGGTTCTCCTGCCCAACTGCAATTTCTTCTCACTGACAACTTCCTCTTGTGCGCTATGGTCATTCTTCATTCAGCAAATATTCACTGTGTACCAACCATGTGGCAGGCACTGATTAAGGTGCTGGAGCTCAACAAACAAACAAACAAGCAAAAATTCCTCCCACCTTGGAGCTTACTTTCCTGTTTCAAAGATACTGCTCTTCACTCTCCCCCTTAACCTATATGGGTCACCAATTCTGGTGGTGTCACTTGCTCTTCTGTTTTCAACATCTCACCTATTACCAAATCATTTTAACTCAACCTGTCTACTGAAGGCCAGGTACAGTCCTAGGGACTGGAGAAAGAGAGAGTAAGACACAGTGCCTGGCCTCCAGAGCTCATGGTCTCTCAGGGGAAGTAGATGCCTTTACAATTAATCACAGTACAATCATCATAGCTACAGCCATGGAGCACCTACTGTGGTAGGGAGATACTGTAACAATAAAAACAGCTAATGTTTTTGAGCTTTTATATGAGTCAGGCACTATTCTAAGCATCAAACCTATATGACCTCATTTAATCTTCACACCAATCCTATGACAGAAGCACTAGTATTTCTCTTTTTTACAGAGAGGGAAATCGAGGCACAAAGTAACATGCCCAAAATCACACAATAAGTGATAGAGCCAAGATCTGAACCAAGGTGGTCTGCTGTCTCTTAACCATCACACCAGAGGATTTGGTGTTTGTATGTATGGTTATGGGACTTCTGAACCCCATAACCGCTCTGTCTCTAAGGTAAAACAAGAGGAGACTCAGAGTGAGTAGGTAACTTTCCCGAAATAAAACTACCAGTAAGAGGTGCATTGGGAATATGAAACCTGGTCAGCTTTACTGGAAAGCTCCGTGCCCTTCCTGCTCCTGTCAGGCTGCCTCTCGCTGTGATTGGGACGACCACAGAGGCATGGGCAAAGCACCTCTGTGGGAGCTCAGAGCAGACAGCAATTAATTCTGCCCCAGGGAATTGGACAGTGTTTTACAGAGGGCATGATATTTGATCTGGGCCTTGAAGGTTGGAGAATACTTTGTAAGGCGGTGAGGGAGAGGAAGGCATGTCAAGATGAGGGAACAGTGCGTACTCTGGTGTGGCTGGACTGTACGGATGTGTATGTGTGTTGGTGGGGGAGAAGTGGCAGAGGAGCCCTGGGGATTGAGACTGGAATGTTGGGTCAGGGCCACTTGGAAGGACTTTGATTTAATGCCAAATTGGGCTTTATTCTACAGTACACAGAGCACCAGAGGTGTTCCAGGGCAGATTTAGTTTTTAGGAGGATACCTACATGGAGGAGGGACTGGATTTGGCGAAGAACTCAAGTCAGGGAGATAGGTTAAGAGGCCGTTGCAATAGTTCAAGCACGGAATGACCTGAACTGGGACAGCCACAAAGGGAGTAGAGAGGAGCAGTTGCATTTGAGAAATGTTTTGAGAACTTGGTGACCAAACTGGATACAGGAGGTGAGGAAGAGATAGGAGACAAAGTGGCAGAGTGAACAGAGAGGATAGAATCTAAGGCAGAGCGTAGAGGAGGAGGTTTGGTGGGGGTGGTGGGGAGGGAGATGGTGAGTTCAATGTTGATCTTAAGTTTGAAGCATCTGTAAGACACCCTGGGAAAGATATCCCAGGGAAATTTGGAATGTGGTTGAGAGGTCAAGAGAGAGAGAGTCAGGCCTGGGGAGTTGATCTCATTAGCACATGGGAGCAAGTTAAAGACTTACTGTATTTTACTGTATTTACCAGGAAGACAATACAGGGCAAGAGAAGGGAGGAGAATGAAACCCTAGGCCACATCAATGTTTGGGGGCAAGTGGAGAAAGAGGAACCAGTGAAGGAGGGGAGAGGGTGGTAGGATACAGCTAACATTTACTGAGTGTCTGCCTAATGCCATTAATCTTCATGACAAAGTGGAAAGGTTGGAATCATCTTCTTCATTGTCTGAGACTCAGAGCAAATTGACTTGTCTAAGGTCCTATGTCTGGGAAGCAGTAGGTCAGTGTTTAAACTTAGGTCCGACTCCAAAGCCGGTGCTTTTTCCAGTCTACTAAGCTGTCACCCTAAGAAGGTTGGAAAAGAACTGAAGAAGTGGGTGGAGAACCAAGAATAAAAGAGTCCATGTATGCCAAGGGATTGTAGAGTTTCAAGGAGAGGTGGTCAACAATGTTAAATGCCTTGGAGGGGTCAAGTAGGATAAGGGATGCAAAGAAGCTTTTTCGGGAGGCGCAAATGTGGCCTTTGGGGTCAGTTCCAGTGGAGCTGTGGGAGTGGAAGAGAGATCAGCAGGGTCTGAAGAGGCTTCCTTCTCAGTATCTGTCAGATTTGTCCCACAAACCCATACATGCAAATGTATGCTAGTATGCTAATCTATTCTGATCACCTGTGCTCAGAATAGCCTCTTAGCTGGCCTCTCGGATGCCAACAACCCCTCCCCTCTCGATCCCAACCCCGTCAGTTCTGCAACAATACCAATGAAAGTTATCATAGTTAAGGCAGGAAGCACCTTCTTCCAACATCTTGGAGGGATGTCAGAGGCAGATGAGCAAGGCGAGGGGTAGGCAGCGGTGGGCTATCTCCATCTTATCCCTACTCTGTCCAGGGAGACTACCAACAGCAAATATATTTTGGATGCTAAGGAAACCAACCATGCCCTAATTCTGGATCCCTGTGACTTTGAGCAAATCATAGACCCTCTCTAAGCCCTCGTTTCATCTGTAAAACAAGGGAGTTGTTAAGGGTCCTTCCAGCTCAGATGGCCTAGAATCCCATGAAATCCAAATTCCTAAACAGTCTTCAAGGCTTCTCTCCCAAGACACCTTCATTTACTTGTTACTCTGTTACAGATGCTTTCCATGTCAGTAAACTATCTCTGATCCCCTAAACAAAATTTGTCATTGCCTCTTCCCGCCACACACCCAAACACACACACACACACACACACACACACACACACAGTTCCATTATTTGGACTGGCATCTACCTGCCCCAGAAATCTAGTAGCAGTATGTCTTTTCCTTTTCCCACTAGGTGATCATGGTGACTGGGGATCATCCTATTACAGCCAAGGCCATTGCCAAAGGCGTGGGCATTATATCAGAGGGCAATGAGACGGTGGAGGACATTGCGGCCCGGCTCAACATTCCTGTGAGTCAAGTCAACCCCAGGTGAGGACTTTCTGGAGCTCCCTGTCCCCTGATCAATCTCTCTTCCCCACAGACTGCTTTGGGTACCACCTCTGGGACCTTTACAAGCCTTATCTCTTACTCCTCAGCAACTGGTTCCTCAGTCCTGAATTTGTTCCAGACTGTGCTAATGGTTAGCTGCGTAACCTTGAAGACATCACTTTACTTTCCTGAGCTTCTGATTTTGTTTGCTTACTTCTTCATCTAGATAATTAGGGTAACCTCTACATTGCAGCGTTGCTATAGAAGCAAGGTATGCATGAAGCAACTAGCACAGTGCCTAGCAAACTGTATTCATGACTGTGATGATGCCACATGGTGAGGATTTAGTGCCACTTCCTCAAAGAGAGAAATAGAAAAAACAGGTCACTGAGTATGGAGGGAAAGAAAGGGTTGAAGCAATGGGGAACCCGACTCAGCAGGGAGATGAAAGTGCTGGAGTGGTGAGGAGAGGCAGCAGGGCTGGCCCAGGCACCAGGGAGTCAGCCACCCCTGCCCCTTCCCTTCAGAGAAGCCAAGGCGTGCGTGGTGCACGGCTCTGACCTGAAGGACATGACTTCAGAGCAGCTCGACGAGATCCTCAAGAACCACACAGAGATTGTGTTCGCCCGGACCTCCCCTCAACAGAAGCTCATCATTGTGGAGGGATGTCAGAGGCAGGTGAGCAAGGCAGGTGGTAGGCAGGGGTGGACCACCAGAGACCAGAGTGGAGGGCAGGGACTTGGGAGGCAGAGGCAGGGCAAGGAATGAGCATGGGGCAAGGGGCTGGAGCATGGGGCCAAGCTGCTGCAAGGGCTTTATCCTCAAGCTCTGGCTGTATCTTATCCTCAGGGTGCCATCGTGGCAGTGACGGGTGATGGAGTGAACGACTCCCCTGCGCTGAAGAAGGCCGACATTGGCATTGCCATGGGCATTGCCGGCTCTGACGTCTCTAAGCAGGCGGCCGACATGATCCTGCTGGACGACAACTTTGCCTCCATCGTCACGGGTGTGGAGGAGGGTGAGGAGGCTACAAGGGCTGGGATGGCATCCAGGATGTCTGAAGCCCAACACTACTGCTTGCCTTGCCTTTTACCAAATTAAAGAGGCAAGGATTACAGGCATCCACAGCCTGCTTAAAAAAAAACAGTTGCCATCAAGTTGATTCCAATTCATGGCGACTCCATGAGTGTCAGAGTAGAACTGTGCTCTACAGGGTTTTCAATGGCTGATTTTTCTAAAGTAGATTGACAGGCCTTTCTTCCGAGGTGCCTCTAGGTGGACTTGAACTTCCACATTTTGGGTTAGCAGCTGAGTGCATCAACTCTTTGCACCACCCAAGGACTCCACAGCCTACCTTAGCTTCCCTCAAATACAAAATCTTCCTCTCTTAGGAAGATGGGCAGCCATGCTCCAGGGGCTAGGAGTGGGGAAAGGTCCCTGTAATCCCCCTGATGCCCTCAGAACCTCCCCACAGGCCGCCTCATCTTTGACAACCTGAAGAAATCCATTGCCTACACCCTGACCAGCAACATCCCTGAGATCACCCCCTTCCTGCTGTTCATCATCGCCAACATCCCCCTCCCTCTGGGCACCGTGACCATCCTGTGCATTGACCTGGGCACAGACATGGTGAGGGCACTGGCTGGGTTAGGGACTTCAGGGCAATCTCTCAGGTGCATGGGTGGGCATGGGCAGCAGATGGAAGGAGAGCTGGACTGGGGGCGGCTGACCAGGCTGAGTGGGCTCCTGTTCTGGTTAAAGAGAAGACAAGCACAAGGCCTGGATGAATTATGTTTTTCATCCTCTCCTCTTGCCATCTCCCACATCCCTTCAAATGCCCTCCCCTCCCCTTTCCATCCCGTCTCCACACAGGTCCCTGCCATCTCCTTGGCCTATGAGGCAGCGGAGAGTGACATCATGAAGCGGCAGCCCAGAAACTCCCAGACAGACAAGCTGGTGAACGAGAGGCTCATCAGCATGGCCTATGGACAGATCGGTGTGGCTGGGCCCTGGGCTCTGGGGGGAAGCCCCAAGAGGGCTCTTATCCCGGCCTTCAGAGGGATGAGCCCTGAGAAAAATTCCAGGATGGGGCCAGCTCCCCAGGGGTCAGGGAGTTCCATCTCTGGTCCTCTGGGACTGGCACCCTCCTGCTTCCTTCTCTGACCCAGGCCCTGCCTGTTGCCCACTACCCACAGGGATGATCCAGGCCCTGGGTGGCTTCTTCACCTACTTTGTGATCCTGGCCGAGAATGGTTTCCTACCATCACGGCTGCTGGGAATCCGCCTAGACTGGGATGACCGGTTGAGGAATGACCTGGAGGACAGCTATGGACAGGAGTGGGTGAGTGGGGCCATGTGCATGCAGGTACATGTTTATGGGGAGGAGGGTGCTAAGCGCCTGGCAGGAATGGGCAGGAGTGGCCAAATGGACTGGGTGCTATGGGTGGAATTAGTGCCCAGGGTTTAAACAACTGCTCTTGAGACATGCTCCCCTCTGGTCCTGCCCTTTCCTCTGACCCTCTCACCTTCTCTCTGCCTGCCATTCCCCAGACCTACGAGCAGCGGAAGGTGGTGGAGTTCACGTGCCACACGGCCTTCTTTGCCAGCATCGTGGTTGTACAGTGGGCTGACCTTATCATCTGCAAGACCCGCCGCAACTCAGTCTTCCAGCAGGGCATGAAGTGAGCGCCCCACCAAAGGCCCCAACACTCTTCCCAGCCTAGACACTGGGACATGCAATCATCTCCTACCTCTTCCTTCCCGTCGCTAACACACCCATAAATGTTTCTTCCCAGAAACAAGGTCCTACTATTTGGGATCGTAGAGGAGACATCCCTGGCTGCTTTTATGTCCTACACTCCAGGCATGGACATGGCCCTGAGAATGTACCCACTCAAGTGAGTAAGGGGAGGGATGCCCATATAAGAATCCCAGGGCATATGGAAAGCATGGGAGAGGAAACGTGGGTTTGAACAAGATAGTCAGATCTGCCTGGGTAAATGAAGCTACACTCAGTGATGGAAGAAGAGGGTCATCTGCACTGTGATAAATTTATCTTATTTAGGGAGGTATTAGAGACCATAACAGGTGATCAAAACTCACAAGACATGCAAATTTAGCAGACATACCCGTGTTTAACAGAGTGGAATCTTTGATGGTGATATGTCGTGTGGTTCTCCAAGGATAAGTATTGCTTGAAGCTTCAGTAACCATAAAAATGACCTGATCTACGCGTGGATAATTCTGCTGTACTTATGCAAATATGCTTAAATGTGTGTATACGTGAGTGGAAAATGACTTGGAAGAACACATAGGAAATTGCTAACAGGCGACGTATGCAGGGTGGGGTGCTGGGAGTGGGGGTGAAGTGGAAGTTTTGCTTTCCTCTGTAAATTTTTAAATAGAATTTTTTCACAGCAAACATGTACTAATGTTAAAAAGAAAGAAAGAAAGAAGAGAAAAACCTGCAGGTTGACAAAGTAACAGACCTTGAAGAGTTCCAATGTGGTGTCTGAACTGAGATGTGCTACCAGTATAGAATGCTCACTGGATTTCAAAGACATAGGATGAA